AACGAATGAATGTTGATTCTTTCTTGCTCCGCCACTGTATGTTCAACTTCAGGTTAATAAAATGTGGTCTTAATTGGACAAGAAAATCTAAACTAGAACCACCAAAGACTCTTGGGCAACAATTTTAATGTATTCTAACATTCAAGATTGACACAACAAATAGAATTAATTTAATTTAGCGCACCCCCCCCCCCAACCACCCACCAAAAAAAAAAAAATTCAAGATCCACCACTTTGTGCAACTTGTCGACCCGGCTCGCAAGCTTACTCTAGCTCGATTTGGTAATAGGCTCAATGAGTGGAGCTTATCGAGCGAGCTCGAATGTGATTTTGAGCTCAAACAGACGTCTGCTTGATTCCTCAGCTTGTCGGGCGGCTTGTATAGGTAACTGGATGGGAAAGGGAAATCTCAATCGAGTGGGAGCGGGCAGACACGACAATTCAAAGGTCAGGCGAAAATCCAAATCGACTGAGCACTGTACAATGACGGACGAGCTCCAGATGATGAATCTCGACGGCAGACTTGACGATGAGCTTGGGACGATGGATCTTGATGGAAAAGCTTCAGGACGGCAACGAACGAGCTCGGGACAGCCGATCTCGACGGCGGACGCATTGACGAGCTCGAGACGATGGATCTCGACGCCGAGCCTCAGGACAACGACAAGCGAGCTCGGGACAACCCATCTCGACGGTGGATGCGGCGACAAGAGGACGCAACGATGACGAACCACGGGACGACAACGAGCTCGAAAGCTGAGCTTGGGACGGAGCTTGACATGAGACTAGTCGAGCTTGATATTTGGCATGAGAGCTCGACTCGAACACACCGTGGCGCGAGCTTACCTCGACTTCTTTGCATTCCTAATCAGAAGTATAAAATGAGTTGAAATATACTCAATTACTCATTATATCATTTTATATAATCTTGAAAAATATACATTAACAATATCTTTTATCCTTAAATCCAAAAAATATTTAATTTTAAAAGTTGGCAAAAAAATTTCTTCTTTATAGTAACTATTTCATAATTCCTTCGGATCAAAATGAATAATTTGACACCAAAATTTGATCAATGTGCCCATTCAAGTGAATAGAATCAAGTGAGGTGTATTTGAATTATTGCATGAAATGGAATTTAAGCTAACAAATTAAGCAAATTAATTTTAGATAATTGACATTCTGTGCTAAATATGCACCGTTTAATACGTTCTTCTTCTACAGAAAGTAAGAGATAAAGGATTTTTTATTATGCTAAGCTTCCACCTTTGCCTATATATTAATCCCACATCGCTGAATAAGTATTGAGCATTATTCAATATAGACTTCTCGATGGAGTTGCACAGTAGCTGAGCTCGGTGACGTTAGCTTGTAACCCAAGTGGGGGTATTAAGGTACTCCGGATGATTTATCCGGTTCAATGACTGATTTGCATTTGGCCGAAGTGCCCGACCCGATACTAGTTGGCAGCTAAATGCTGCGGGTTTGCAGTTAAATACTGCGTGTATACAGGCCAAATGCCTGAGTTTGCCTCTCAAGTAGAGAGAGAGTGAGAGTTTAACGTCGTTGGGGTTATGGTATGGGTAGCTGGGCCTTCTGGCTGATCAAATTAGCCTTGGTCGCTTGAATCAAACCAAGTACCTTTTTTATTTTTACCTTAATATTTAATTTTATTCTTTTCTTCTTCTGCCATTTACGTTGAAATTTTAGTTCAGAAAATGCTATTGATAATTATTTTTCCCCTCAACCTCATTCTATTTTTTTTTCATTGATTTCCATGAATAAATCATACCTTTTTTATTAAATTGTTATAGCTAAAATTTACTTGCTTTAATTTTTAACATGTGATAAATTTTTGCTATGCCTCCTAACAAAATTATGGAAGAAAGATAGTGCTTATTATCTTGATTTTATAAGAAAATCTAATGCACAGATATGAACATATTGCAAGAAAGGTTGTTTGAGAGAATAATTTGAATCAACATTATTGACAATGACATGCGTTAACGTTATTTGCAACAGCCAACAACAAATCTAAGGTGTGTATATAGTCAATGATGTTGGTTGAGAGACTTTGGTCGAGCAATGGTAGTCTAATGGTGGTAGTTATATGATATTGGTCCAACAATGATAGTAGGAACAATAACAGCGGACTGAACATGATGGTCATATAGTAGTTGAGCAATGGATGTATGATGATGGTGATTGTGTTGGAATACCTCCATCATAGTCATTATTAATTTTAAATGTGGTACAACTTTCATTGTTATGAATGATTCTATTACAATGCATAGAAATATTTAAGAAAGTATTTCACGGGTTTCATATGGGTTTTAAGTATTTTCAAAGGATGTAAGTTATTTCGGTTTAAAGATAGTTTGGAGTTCATAAGAGTGTAAATAAAATTAGCACAATTTCTAGCAAGAATGATTTACCACAAGCAAGTTCGCTTGACCACCTCGAGCCACCTCCATTAGTCACTACCAGTTTCAAACTTTACACTACATTCATGTTACTTCATAGAAAAAAAAATCATTCTCCATAATTTACTTTACAATCATCAAAAGAATTCTAAAATATTTCTTTTACACTACATTCATTTTTTAACCAACCCAACATACCCCCAATCTATATGGCCACTCACTACCAACTAAATCTTAAGTTTACTGAGTCTGACTCCCCTTAAACTAATGCTATAACCATCTTGGTTTTCAACATCAGATCAATTCATAAATGTGCAAGACATTGGAATGCTTGAAATGTCAGGTGATTTTATTTAGTTATTCGTTATTCGGTACCTTTTCTAAAAGATTATTTTAAAGCTGTTGTTTGAGAGAATGGAGTTTTCTAATCGAGACATTAATTTAAAATGTGGTACAACTTTCATTGTTATGAATGATTATATTATAATGCATAGATATATTTAACAAAGTATTTCATGGTTTTCATATGGGTTTTAAGTATTTTCAAAGGATCTAAATTATTTCGTTTTAAAGATGGCTTGGAGTTCATAAGAGTGTAAATTATTAATGTAGTGTAAATAAAACTCAGCACAACTTTTAGCAAGAATGGTTCATACCACAAGCAAGTTCGTTTGACCACCTAGAGCCTCCTTCTCCAGTCACTACCATCTTCAAACTTTACACTACATTCATCTTACTTTAAACAAAAATAAAAAAATCATTCACCATAATTACTTTACAATCATCCAAAGAATTCTAAAATATTTTTTTTTACACTACATTCATTTTTTAACCAACCCAACATCACCCTCAATCAATATGGCCACTCACTACCTACTAAATAATAAGTTTAATGAGTCTGATTCTCTTTAAACTAATGCTTTTTTTTTTTTGGGAAAATTAAACTAATGCTTTACCCACATAAGTTTTCAACATCATATCAATTCATAAATGTGTAAGACATTGGAATGCTTGAAATGTCAAGTGATTTGACTTTTAGACTTTATTTGGTTATTCATTATTCGGTACCTTTTCTAAAAGGTGATTTTAAAACTATTGTTTGAAAGAATGGAGTTTTTCAACAAAGAAATTAATTTCATAAAGCTTTTGAAAATAGTACAAAAATACAAAAGTGGCACATACAGACAAAAAAAAAAATCTATCATTTCGAAACTAAAAAGATAAAATTAAGCTATCTCAAACGAGGTTTTAATATGAAATCAGCACTTTTTTGAAAAGAGAGGCTTTGATGGTATTTCAACACAAACATAAAAGCTGATGTTTGCATATATGATGAGGTCATCGATAGGAGATTTCGGCACGTCTATCAGAGACGACCACGGAGATCGACGGCAATGATTGCGAGCCTTTATTATTGATTTTACTTGTACCATCAGTTTTTTATATTATGCTTTTATTTTTGTAGTTTCTCATTTTACCCCTGAGGGTAGTAGTTGCTTTTGTAGCCCCAAGGGACATTTTAGACTTTTGCACTTTATTTTCTTGGGAGCCTATTTATATGGCCATTGTATCTTGTATGAGGGCTAATGAATTATTGAATGAATGAAATTTTTCCACACTTTGTTCTCTTTGTGAGTGCATGGAGTTCTCTTGGTGAGTGCTCCCATTGAGATCTCTTAGTGAGTTCTCAAATTATCTTTTTCTTTTATTGCTTGGCATAATCTTTTTTTTTTCCACTACAAAATTCTTCTAAATTTCCCCACCCTTTGCTCTTGCCGCCGGCCCCTAGGGCTTTCCTCACCGCCGGCCAAGTTTCCACTGCCACCCACCACCGTGCCGACGACCCCCCTTCCCCCT